GGTCAAAGCAGAAAGGCCTACAAAAATAAGGCTAGGTCATCCGGTGGTAAAGGGACCAAGCTAGGGCCTAAATGTGGAATTTCTAAAAGAAAGTTTCAAGGGAAATGTTTCAATTGTGGAAAAGTGGGTCACAAGTCTTCGGAATGCAGATTACCAAAGAAGAAGAAAGAAGCAAATGTGGTTGACTACACGGCACATGATATGGTGGAGATGAATCTCGCAGCCGTCATTTGTGAAGTGAATAATGGTGGGTTTAAACCCAAAAGAGTGGTTGATTGATACCAGAGCTACGAGGCATGTGTGCTCTAATAAAGAGTTGTTTGTTGCCTTCGAAATAATTGAAAATGGAGAGAAGTGTTCATGGGAAATTCAGCAACGTCTGAAATCAAGGGATAAGGTAATGTGGTTCTGAAGATGACTTCAGGAAAAGAGTTGGCTCTTAACAATGTGTTGTATGTGCTGAAAATACGTAAGAACCTATTGTCCGGGTCGCTTTTGAATAAGCATGGTTTCTGTATTGTATTTAAGTCTGACAAAGTTATTTTGTTGAAAAGTGGAATGTTTGTTGGAAAATGTTATGTTTCCAATGGTTTATTTAAACTCAATGTAATAGTTGTTAAGCAAAAAATGAATAAAGTAAACTCTTCTACTTACTTGCTTGAGTCTTCCAATGTATGGCATGGTAGACTAGGACATGTTAACTACGATACTTTACGTAGATTAGTTAACTTGAATTGCATACATGCGTTTCATATTGATTCCAAATATAAGTGTGAAACTTGTGTTGAGGCAAAATTGACAAGGTCATCATTTAAGTTAATTGAACGGAATACAGAACCTTTTAATTTAATTCACAGTGATATATGTGATTTAAAATTTGTACAAACAAGAGGTGGCAACAAGTACTTTATTACTTTTGTCGATGATAGTACAAAATACTGTTATGTATATTTACTAAAATGTAAGGATGAAGCGATAGAGAAATTTATTCTCTATAAGAATGAAGTTGAAAATCAATATAACAAGAAAATTAAGGTGTTGAGAAGTGATAGAGACGGTGAGTATGAAGCTCTGTTTGCTAGATTCTGTGTACAATACGGAATCATACATGAAACCACCGCGCCTTATTCACCGCACCAAAATGGTGTTGTTGAAAGGAAAAATCGCACTTTAAAAGAAATGGTGAATGCAATGCTAATAAGTTCTAGATTACTTCAGGACATGTGGGGAGAAGCTGTATTGTCAGCAAATTACCTTTTAAATAAGGTGTCCCGAAAGAAAATGAAAAAGACCCCTTATGAATTGTGGAAAGGAAGAAAGTCTTCGTATAAATACTTACGAGCGTGGGGGTGTCTTGTTAAAATGGCTGTCCCAACACCAAAGAAGGTGAAGATGAGACTGAAAATCGTAGTTTGCATCTTCATTGGATATGCACAAAATAGTAGTGCTTATCGATTTCTTGTATATGAATCTAAAATTTCAGATATACATAAAAATATGATAATGGAATCGAGAAATACTTCGTTCTTTGAACATGTATTTTCATACAGGTCCAAAGAAGAAGCAAGCTCTTCTAAACGGACATATGAGACTATGACTAAAAATAGTCAGACCAAGAACTAGAAGAGGAGGTTGTGGTTCAACCAAGACATAGCAAAAGGGAAATGACAGAAAAATCTTATGGTCTAGATTTTCTAACCTATATGCTAGAAAGTGAATCTCAAAGCTATCAAGAAGTTGTGAACTCCTTGAAAGGACTTCAATGGAAAGAGGCTATTAAAAGTGAAATAGATTCCATTTTGCAAAATCATACATGAGAGCTAGTGGATCTTCCTCCAAGAAGTAAACCACTAGGCTACAGATGGATTTTCAAATGAAAAATGAAAGCAGATGGAACGATCGAAAAGTACAAGGCCAGATTAGTAATAAAAGGTTAAAGACAACGGGAAGACCATGATTACTTTGATACATATTCTCCAGTAACGAGAATAACATCTATTAGGATGACACTTGCGATTGCTGCTCTACAAAATCTTGAAGTATATCAAATGGATGTTAATATTGCATTTCTAAATGGGGATTTAGAGGAAGAAATCTATATAGAACAACCCGAGGGGTTTTCATCTCTAGGGCAAGAAAAGAAAGTCTGTAAATTGGTGAAATCATTATATGGTTTGAAACAAGTACCAAAATAATGGCATAAAAAATTTAATAATGTCATGATGGAATATTGATTTAAAATCAACGAGTGTGACAAATGTGTCTACGTCAAAGATACTGAAAATGATTATATCATTTTATGTCTTTATGTTGACGACATGCTTATTGTTGGTAGTCAAGATAAGATGATTAAATCCACTAAAAACATGTTAAATTCGAGATTTAATATGAAAGATATGGGTTTAGCTGATGTTATACTTGGAATAAAAATTTCCAGAACATTAGATGGGGTCATTCTAAGCCGTCACATTATGTGGACAAAATTCTAGAAAAGTTTAGTAAGGATGATACTAGCATGGCTAGAACACCGATAGATACAAGTCAACATCTATCCAAGAATGAAGGTAAAAATGTTTCTCAAGTACAATACTCGAGAATTATTGGAAGTATGATGTAATTGATGAGTTGTACAAGACCAGACATAGCCTACACAGTCAGTAAACTGAGTCGATATACGAATAATCCAGGAGATGATCACTGGAAAGGAATAGTAAGAGTACTGAGGCACTTAAGATTTACTCGTAATTTTGGACTGCACTATGGCAGATATCCAGCGGTCATTGAAGGATATAATGATGCCAATTGAATATCTGATACAAAAGATTCAAAGTTCACTACTGGATTTGTGTTCACATTGGAAGGTGCAGGCATATCCAGGAAATCTCTAAGCAAACTGTTATAGCTACATCTACAATGGAATCTGAGTTTATAACTCTAGATAAATGTGGTGAAGAGTCTGAGTGGTTACACAACTTCTTAGAGGATATTCCAAGATGGTCAAAATCTGTGCCAGCAATTTGCATATACTGTGATAGTCAATCAGCGACTGGAAGGGCACAGAGTAACATGTACAATGGTAAGTCTAGACATGTACATCATAGACACAATACTATAAGGCAACTACTCTCAACTGGAGTTATCAATATTGACTACGTAAAGTCAAACGATAAAATTGCGAATTCGCTAACCAAAGGGTTAAATAGAGAATTAGTTGGAAAATCATCGAAATGAATGAGACTTAAACCCTTGAATGGATAAGTCAATATAAAGGAAACCCAAGCTAGTTGACTAGAGATCTCAAGATCTAGGTTCAAAGGGACAACTTATCACTGTGGTGGATATTACCTCATGTCTATTCCTATGATGCGATAGTGATGCCAGTAAATATGGAGGATAAGCAATAGACTTTTAATGATTTTTATGTGTCGGAAATGGAGTCAAGTAATAGGGGTTACTTGTAATAAGAAATCACTTATGTGAGAGAGAAGTGGGGCCGCTTCTAGGGAAATTGTGTAGGGTGTAATTATTGTGTGTAATTATTGTGAACTCTTACAGAACCAAGTGTATATTCATTGCCAAAACAAACATAATAATGAGAACTGAAATGTGCTAAAAAGAATCTTGTGTGGAGTAAATCATCGTTTACATAAACGGCAGTACAGTTCAAAGACATCGCGTCTACTAGTCAACTAGTAAAGTAAATATACTTTCACGAAGGAAGGTTCAAAGGGACCTACCTATCATATGCAGGTTTCAACCGTTGAACTATATCACCAAATCGTCATGTGTCACATTCATGAGTTGCTCCCAATTTTCATTCATGTGGGGGATTGTTCGAAAAATGGTTGGGTAGCTGACTTTGGAGCTAAATTTGTGATTTTCTTGGTTGTTCATTTTAGAATATGGAAGTTGATTTGTATTCTCCTCCGTGAGTATATCGAAATCATGTATTTACTTGCCAAAACTGATGCTCGGGTGAATGAGAAATTGATGCTCAAAGTATGTCATGTGAAATGAGTTTATGTGAGTAAGAAAACTAAAAATATACTTGTCCCACATAGGAAAATGAAGAAAGCAAAAACCACTTTATATAGGATTGCATTTTGGAATGGTGTAATCATGTGTAGTATAGAGGCTCTCTCCACGTGATCGCATGGGGGTGCAAATCACAGACCGAAATGAGCTTCGGACCTTGAATTCGTATGCGAGCGCGACCTGCACACATGAATGTCAGACCGAATTGACCAAAAATTGGCCCCTTAGGGGGGCCTACGTTTTGGAATTTGTTTTTACTTTCTAGAATTGACTTTTGGGCTTTTGAAACTCCAAAACATCTGAAACTCCCTTAGTTATTAGAAGTGAGTCATAAAGAATTTGAATGTTAAAAGTCTATATAAGATAACCATTTTCCTCCAATTCAAACACACGAAATTTCCTCACATTCTGCATACTGTCGAACTCCAGTTCTGCATTCTGCTTCTGTCTGTCTTGCATAATGTTTTCCTTCCAAACCTTGTTTCGATTTTTTGGTGGTGATATTGTTCGAACACTAACTCAATTCGCCGGAGCAAAAACTGTTGTATTCAGATTTTACTGATTAGTCGTTGTATCTTGGGAAGCAGACGCTTAAATTACACCTTAAGCACGAACGGTGAGGGGACGAATCTGTTTCAAGAAAATTGTGTTCGCACATGCCTCGGTTTGGGAATTTATTTCTTGTTGCAATTTCGATTTCTTATTTTGTTATTTTACTGCAGTTAACGAGTTGTTTTCGTAAGTTATTTTCCTTGTAGTTAACATATAAAGAAGTTTGTATTTCGGTCTAGTAGTTTATCCACTAAAATATTACAACAAACAAGAAGCACATAACTTGAAAATTCAATCTATTACAGATTCGGGATTAATTCTGATAATTACAGAATCACTATACTTTATAAAACATTAGCGACTCGACTAATCGAAGATGTCCAAAAGTTTGCAGTATGATCTTTAATGTATATTCACAATATGTATGATAAGATCTTGGTTGAGATCCATGTGTAAATCACAGCAAGGACAGCACCAGCCGGAATTGTAACAGCCCAAGAAGTGACAATCTCTTGTACTGTTTCTGCTCTTACACTGTTTAGTCCCCGAGCAAACCCGACCCCCATCACGGCCCCAACTAACGTGTGTGTGGCCGAGATGGGGAGTCCGAATTTTGATGCAAACAGAACCACAGATGCAGCAGCAAATTCTGCTGCAAATCCTCTTGTTGGTGTCAGTTCTGTGATCTTCTTTCCAATTGTTGCTATAACTCTATATCCCCACATCGTAAGCCCTGCAACAATCCCGAATCCTCCCCATGCTAGAACGTCATGAGGTATAACAATCTCGGCCCCACTCATTCCGTCTTGAAGAATTGATAAAGCTGCGGCTAAAGGGCCTATTGCATTGGACACGTCGTTTCCCCCATGTGCAAATGACATGAAGCAGGCCGAAAGGACTTGCATGTAGCCAAATACTCCGTAAACTATTTCCAGTTGTGTACCTTTTGGTCCGGATACATTGGACAGAAGCCCGATACTTTCAGAATGTGTCAACATTACTGGGGGCTCTGGTTCTTCGCTTGTATTAGTCTTAACTAGCAAGTGACCTAGTTGCTTCCGGATGATTCTACTGATTAGAATAGCACCAGCTGTGCCGAAGGCTAATGCCCGGGCGAGAGCTATAGGGACGGTCTTGCAGAGAGGGAACGAGGAAAAAGAGATTCCAGTGACACATAGAAATACGGCAATTGGTGCGGCTGCAGCGGCTGCTTGTCCCGGGTTAGGAGCACTGTAAACAAACTTGTAGTAGTGAAGAAGGTCAGACTTTAGGACAGACATCATCAATTCAATTGATATGATACAAAGTTTCAGAGTAAGTGTAAGAACACACCCTACGAATGCACTTGTAGACAAGAAATGACACCATTGCTCCAATCAAAGGAGAGACTACCCATGATGAAGTTACCCTTGCCAATGAACTCCAAAAGACAGCACCAGTTCCTCCATAGACAAGTCCGAATCCCACCATGGATCCAACAATACAATGTGTAGTCGAAACTGGCCAACCAAAGTACGATGAAACCTGATAGACAAAACGAGGACTTAGGATGTCATTCGATGAAAAATAGTATGTGCAATTTGCAAGTGAATACTGTGATTGCAAGTGATCATAGTGACTGATGCAAACTTGCTATTGAACGGAGATTCTCTGATCAATGAGATAATTTCAAAGAAATTCACTAAAATTTATGCAAAAAATACTTGCAACTTTCTATCATTTGATATCTACATTTCGAAATTTCAGGCGGAAAGTTCATGATTCGGACATAACCCAATAGATGATCGAAAAGTTTGCATGGGTTACAATATCTACATATTCGTAATGCAATGAGATGGCTAAGAATTTCCTAATCGTTGCCCAGGTGCTTAAAGTTTTCCAAATTGAGCTGTTTTCTTTGGTGCAATTCTTTGGACATGATTGTGAAGAATTTTGTGTTTACTAGGACTTTGGACTCCACCTTAACGTGTTCCTTCAAGATGGTGGCTCGTTTGAGGGCAACAATACGGTTGTTTGAATCTATAACAAAACTAATTACTCGTTGGAGTTTAATAGACTTCCATATCAAAATATCAATCTTGTTAAAAGGAGTGGCACAAATCGATATTTTTTGGTTATATTTCTCTCTCTACTTACTGTGGGTTTGTTTCTTAATAGTATTTTCAAGAAACAGAAGTAATTTAAACTGAACCTGCAACCAAGTACCAGCAGCAGCTAAAGAAGAGAGCAATCCAGCAAAAAGCAGAGTATCCTTCCCTTGAAAAACATTCGCAACAAGAATGCCCTTCTGCATTGTATTGGTGACATTTGTCCCCATCAGTAAGGCCCCCGAGAACTCGAGTATTGCAGCTATCAAAACAGCCTGCCGAAGCGACATAGCCCCTGAACCAACTGATGTTCCCATCGCATTTGCAACATCGTTAGCGCCAATGTTCCAAGCCATGTAGAAGCCGAACAAAAGAGTAGCATATGACATTACTTTAGTCTTAAAGAGCGATCCTTGTCCTAAAGAGTTCATAAAAAGTGGGAAAGTGAGAGCAAAAAATGCTATACATATACTTATAGCAGAAGCTGTATTGGAAGAAATGTTAAAAGCCTCGGCCATTCCAGGCAGTTCATCATCATCAGGCTTTGCATTTCCTTGATGCTCCTCAACTTCAAGAACCCTTTTGCCTTCTTCACCTTCGGCTTCAGCAAAAGACGATAAGATGGCAAAGGGGCGTATAAATCTATGTTTCCGTAATCTCACAAGCGAAATCGGTGGCTGTTGAGGCTTCAAAATAATTAACTCTTTCTTCGGAAACCGGCTTTCATTGCAAAACACAGAAAACCTATGCTTTAGGAGGTAAAGACTAGTGTTTCTTGTGGAAGATAAACAGCAAAAATTCATGACTTAATACAACAAGTTGAGTTTAGAGAGAGAGAAGAGAATATGTTGAGAATTATTCATGTAGATTCTTTGCATTGGAATGTAGAGGATGAGAAGAGAGAATTACATTTTCCTTGGTTTTCATTTTTTTCTTTCATTTGCTTGAATTTGTGAAAGGGACTTTGGATATTTTTATTTTGTATTCTAGCTTTGATTTATCAGAATGAGTGGTGATTGTGTTTTTTTGAAGGCCGTTGAATCCTATTATCCACTTGCAAAAAATTTGAATGCATTCAAATTATGTGTGACAAAATAAAATCTTGAAGAAAGAGAGAGACCCCAGAAGTATTCAAACTGTCTTCTTCTTCCATTGCATGCTTTGGATGATCATAACTAGTAACCAATTCTTGGAATGTTAGGGCTCGAATTTTGTTAAAATATCACGTTTAAAAGTTTAAACAATTAGAGGACATGATTATGTATTAAAATGTTATCTTCAACACGTCTCTCACATACAAGTCGAATTCATATATTCATCAAAAGTCAGACATGTGACAATTCTTTTAAAGGTCATTCATAAGTAATATATAGAATTTTATACTACCTTATCTCAACAAGGGCAGTTTTTTTTTTTTTTTAATTCATAAAATTGGCCCAAAGTAAATTTTTATAAATTGATCATGAAAATATTAAATCCACCACAAAAACCAATGTCTAACCAATTGTAATCTTTTATCTCTTATTTTTTAGAATTTACCAACTTAAAATTTTAGTTTACCCTAAATATTAATTATAGTTATACACTACAAAATAGTAGACAACAAATAAACATGTCAAGTGTCTCTTTTTTAATCACATCTAGTCTTTTTCAATCATGTACATTATATTGAAAATATTTAGCACATCCATTTTTTTGTTAAACTCATTTTCAATAATACATTCTCATAATAAAATAATTTTGCACATGAATTCAAAATTTTCTCTACTTTTTAATCATACGTGCTTCAAAAGCTTTTTTTTTTTTTTGACGAAATCTATTCTAAAAAGTGGAGCTCAAACATGGGCTTAATCAGTGCCAACTTTGACTGTAGGCGACGTAGACGATCGCCTAAATTCCCTCTTTCTTGAGGGCACCAAAAGATTTTTATTATATTAAATTTATAAATAATAAATAAATTTTTTTAGATTAGTATATTGCCTGCAAATTTGTCTTCATATTTTCTTTATTTGTAAATTGTACTCGGATGGTAACTCGATTTTTGTCTTCTTCGGTAGAACTAATCAACTATAAGTATTCTAGATATCTTGGCAAGTCCAATTAAAGCAGAATAGTTCTTTTGTGATTCCTTAAGGTGGATGATGCAACGGGTCAAGGACTGTTTGGTGAATTGTTAGATGCTTTGAAAACACTTGATCTTGATATTGTTAATTTAAGAAGTTAAGCTTATGATAATTGAAAGTTACGAGTTTGACCCTAAAATCACTTAGAGGGAGGTGAATATGTGAATAACGCGGAATTAAAAATTACCAATTAAAAGTAACAATTCACTTTTTAATTATTCTAGATGTTTAATCAATCAAGTCAAGTTATATATCCAATAAGACATGACCATTTGGGAATAGGGCCTGAAAGTTGCTAGTTCAACTCTAAAATCACCTAATATGTGAATAACGAGGAATTAAATTTATCAATTAAAAGCAACAAGTCACTTTTTAATTATTCTAGATGTTTAATCAATCAAGTCAAGTTATCCTATATTGAATTACCACAACAATAAATAAAAAGTAAATAACACAAGATTTGTTGACGCAGAAAACCTTAATTGAGTAGAAATTTCGGGAATAAGCTAGTAACTTCCACCATAGATGATAAGAACTTATAATATGATCCAACCTAGAAAACTCACTAGACTCGCTAATCTAATTCATGCAATCTCCAAAATCTGCTGGAACGTGCTTCACTCACACTTGCTCCCAATTTTCTGGAATTGTTTATCTCTTGTGGATCACCAGAACACCTTATTCTTGTATTTTTCCTGTGCTTCTGGTCCAAATTCTTTCAATCTTCAGCAACATCTGAAAGCCATAGAGAAAGTACCTTCTGACTATATCTAGGAAGTGGGCATTTTGAATTATTTAAATTTGATGTTTTTTCCAACTCATGGTTGATTGATCTCAAGAATCAAAGGTTTAATCTCATTGTTTAGATATGTTCTTGAATCTTGGAATAATGTTATGAGGATGTATTATAATGATTAACCACACTCAAAAACGTTATGGACATTGGGTATTTTATTATAGAAGGTATTTGGGTAATATAGGATAGATAGAACTCTTGAAAATCGTGAACTAGGGTTTTTCGAAAAACATCATCGCCCGAGCACCAAGCGATAATGTTTATGTTTTGAGCGCTCGAGTATCAGTTTGGCAACATGCTAGCATACATCCGACGACTCTTTCTCCGTGTTCCATATTCGAACATAAAAACTCCTACTTCATCAATCCAACAAATCAAAAGACTCCTTGACTTTTACAACTCTTTTGTAATAATAATTTTCTTTTATAATAACCATTTTGTCTAAAGAATTGTCAATATAACTTAAGTCCTAACAATCTCCCCATTTGACATTATGTGACAAAACGATACAATACAAGTCAAGAAAATAAAAACAAAAACTAATCTACCCAAACTCAAACTAAATGTCCGTCTCTTGCATTCCTTGAAACTTGTTTCTTGAAATCAACAACTTAAAAATCAAGTGTAAAAGCACGTCAAATTGGAAATATAATAATCGAAACATACTATCATAAATATGTTAGCTAGATTGAGAAGTAATACTAATGTCACATTAATATCACATGACATCAAAACTTAAAAAAGTAAGCATTCAATAAAGCAAAACTCCAAATACTATCATCTCTCCCTACGATAAACTCTCCAAAATTTACAATGCCATCATCATCTCCGCCTTTTTATCACAAATGACTAAGGAAACTATATCAACAATATATAATAGCCCAAAGATGTGATTGATAGCATGCACAAACATAATCAATGATCAATAAAATTTCCTACATACTCAATTCAAGTCTATGGAGTAAATTGTATACGTCAGACTTATGTGTGAAAAGTGCCACTAATTCGATATGAGCAAAACTCCAAACCTTAAATTTGTGAGAAATGACATTCTAAACATCACTGTTAAATAAGTTTATTCTCCTAATAATGAAATTCAAATCAATAATGCATATTAGAACCTATAAATGAAACTCATTTTTCATGTATATTATTCTTTTCTCCCCCTAACTTTGAGCATATGTACATTTTCTTTTCAATTTTTCACATGTTATGTGTAGACTCTTTTCCATTAAGCAATGACCCATGTAACGAGTTTTGGGCCAATTATTCCAAGTCAGTAGACCTCAGGACATCAGGTTATAAGAAACTCGTCGAACTTAATTGCTCAAGTCCAATAGGCTCCGAAACAGAGTATAAGATGAAACATTTTTTTAAAGGGATATACTAGAGCTTAGGTATACTAAATTAAAGTCAATTCATGTTCAAGGTTATCTTACCAACAGATGACGGCCATCTCAAATCTCACACGTGCTGTCAGACTCATTCACAAGATCATAGTGTGTGCAGTGCAAATGGTTCACGAAAAAACCTATACTAAGTACTTCACATAAGCCTAAACAAATTAATGGAAAATATGCTACAACACATCAATTAAACTCATATTTGGTCACAACACACATGTTCAAGTAAATCATATATCATACTATAGTGAAAAGAAAATCCCATTCTCCTATTTTATTTTTCAATTCAATTTTTTTTTCAATTTTCAATTTTTTTCTTCCCCTTCTCTTTTTTAAAAAAAATCAAACTACCTAAAAACAAAGAATGAGACGCATGTAATAATGAATTAATCACAATTAATAAGCAGCGCATACATAAAAAACACTTAATTAGTTAGGTATACAACTCTTACCTTTAAGAACACCGTGATCGATTTCAAAAATTTTCAAATCGCTCTTTTTTAACCCAAACTTGTCTAATGAAAGATTTATTCCGAGTCAAAGTTTCATTAACTTGGTCAAATGACTCATTTGTTTAGAAAAGAAGTCAATCCAACCATCAAAATCTTGATTTTTATCTCTAACAAAATTCTGATTTCGATTTCTATTCGGGAATTTATGACACCTAGGCCTTATATGTCCTAACTCACCACAATTGAAACAAGTATGGATAAACTTAGGTCCAAAGTTATGTGATCGTTGATATCCATTTATAGGTTGGTAGGTCATACGCTGTCTAGTAGGCCTCTGTCGTACGATATTTGTTCTTGAGTTCAGGATTATGAATATACATAGGCTGGTTAGTGGCAGGAACAAAAAATGGTTTTGGAAGTACTAGCCCTATTATGATCGGTTTGCTTACATCCTAGACCTCCCATATTCCCAGCAAGCTTGTTCAATTCCAAAAAATTGTCCCATTTTTGAGATCCACTGGAGAAAACAAGAAGTTGAGACTTGGAATATTCAAGTTCGTTCAGAAGGTTATTAACCTAGATTTCTAATTTATCATTCACAATGGTAGCTCACTAATTTTCCTAGAGGACTTCTCGATATTACCTGTAAGATTCTTAATCTTAGACTCTAGGATTGATTCACAATAGCTAATTTATTGAGACACAAGGTAGACTCCTGAAGATCAGATACAAGTTTCCCTCTAACTAGCTTAAGTTCATTGATCTTCTTAAGCACGGCTTTATTCACCTTCTTAATCTTAAAACTCTCCTCAAATAATTGTTGATAAGCCTCACGAATCTCTTCATCTTTAGAATCTTCCTCGGAGTGAAGGCCGTAAACTTCACACTTTCCTATAAGTGGACCTCTCACTTCGATTATCCGAGTTAGACTTGTCATCAGTTAGAATTGTATCCTGATATCTCTTACCATTAGGGCACTCACCTCTATAGTGGTAAAAACTTTAACACTTATGACATCTCAAAGTGTTA